CACATTATCTACTACGCGCATACCATACTTGCTATTTTCCATTTTCTTCCACATAAGGTAAACATGAATTTGTACTAAACTATTTTTTTGAGTTGGTAGTAAACTAATTAATTCGTCATTTCTTACATGCTTTATCTCTTGTTGTGTAGTACTACAAAGGCAAGTAATAAGGTTAATTTGGTTGCATTTCCGCTCAATACTAATAAGAATGCATGCATTAGCATTGGACATGTTTCTTGTATTGGGCTTATTGAAATAGATATTTACATGTTTTGTTTTCCGCATTATAAGAAACATTTTCTGTAAAAAAATTGTATGCTCATAATCATAAGATTTTAGCACGTAAGTAACAACAGCAAAAGATGCTTCAATTTGGTCCATTTTTTTAAGATGCATGTGTGGACATTAGCAAATTGCAAGATATTACATTTTCTATTTTGAGCCATACATAAGGAAAGCTATCTAGAATTCTAGAGTATTCTTTCTTGTGTAGCCTCCTTTCGGAGTAATATCAAAACTCACACATCTACCCCTTCTACTTTCCTGCAAATTTTCTTCTTCGCTGCTAGTATTTCTTTATTCGCTCCTCACTGTTACTATTTCCTCTTGGAAAGTACAGTGATGGTGTCAGGAATCAAGTGCTCTCATGAGAGGGAGAGAAAGAGCCACATGGTACGAAGCCCTAACCCTAGCAACTCATTAGTTGGGATCTGGAAAGAGATTAATTAATTAAGAAATATTTTATCAGTTCCTTCATCTCTCTCTGCTACCTTATTAACTCATCAAACACACATACACTAACAGTGACACATACGGAGTACATGATATAACATCATACATGTACTAATAACCAGTAAGCACATAAAAAGGCAAAAGAAAAACCTCATACCTAGATCTGCTTCTCTCCACACATAAGCAAAGGTACCAAAGGGAAAGAGGAAGAAGCAGGGAGCCCAAGGATGGATGGATGGATGCCCTGTGATCTTTGTGATCATGAGGTGTGAGAGATCTACTGCTACTACCACCAAAGCAGCCCTCCCTTCCCCTCCCCACAAACACACAGAGGCAGAGGCAGCTGTGAGTGGAGAAAGGAAACATGATAAATGGAGCAAGGAAAGGGCAGGACCACCATGTTCTCCCTCACTCGCACAGTCACAAGAAAGAGAAAGGCTCAGGGCATGTACACACACACACACATACCACGCAGAGCAAGCACTGTCCTAGATCTATCTACACATCTAGCTCACCTCACAGGAGCACAAAGGAAAGCAGCAAAGAACCACCACAGCAAGCTGCATATGCTTGCCTCAGTCACAAAAGAAAGAAACTGCTGCAATTTCTTTCCCCCTCACCCTCAGCAACACCAGAATAAACAAGACAGTTAATAACGGAAGGGAGTAACAAAAGATGCAGCTCCCATTTGACCTTCCCAACTCTTTGCCCCAAGAAAGCTAGGAGCAAACTTGCTCCAATTTGGACAAGAAACTGAGAAGAGAAATAATAAAAGAAGACACAAACACGGCAGTAGTAGTAGGATCTGAGGTATGTGCGTGCTATGCTATGCATATGCATGCCTTTCTTGGTGCTATAAATATATGCCATGTATGCATACATCCGTCCATACTTGTGTATGTAACTTGTAACCTGAGAGAGCTGAGGAGGAGATGACAGTTGGTCGTGGTCGTACCTGTTGTTGGAGTACTCGTAGAGGCGGCCGCGGCTGGAGAAGACGATGAGGGCCACCTCGGCGTCGCAGAGCACCGAGAGCTCGTACGCCTTCTTCAGGAGGCCGTTGCGGCGCTTGCAGAAGGTGACCTGCCGGTTGGTGGTGTTCTCGATGCGCTTGATCTCGATCCGGCCCCTCCCCATCTTCTCGCTCCCCGCCACCGCCGAGTCCTCCGGAGCCGGAGCGGCCAGCTGATGATCATTCGCGGTCACACCGGAAGCTCCGCAGCTCAAATCGGCCTGAGAAGAAGGCAAACGGCAAAACCAAGATAAACAATTAGCGTGGAAAGCTGGAAACATATCGAACAAATCAAGAACTGCCATGGCATCTGTCCTCCTATCTAGCTTTATCATCAAAAGGAAACAAACGATGCGATCCATCGATTATTTTTCTCATCCTTTTTAATTTGTGGTGATCTCCAAAGATCAGAGGGATCTTCAGCCCTGTATCTCCCTTTCTAGCTAAATCATCGCTGTGCAGGTAGATTCTACTCGCAACATACATGCACACAGATTGTGCAAAGAAAAATAAAGGAGGCTATTTCCCAAGACCATGGCCAAGAAGAAGCAAATTACCATCATGCTCATCATGGATGCTATGGCAGGAGGATCTCTCAACGTGCCTCTGTGAGCTAGCTAGCAGGCTGGAGGAAGAGATCCAGAGAGGAAAAGAGGAATGTAGTGTGGGATAGGCAGGGCGAGGAGGAGGAGGAGAGGTATTAAAGGGGGGAGGTGGTAGGGAGGGAGGGAAGAGGGGGGGAAGATATGCAGTTAGGAGACGATGTGGCAAATTCTTATGGCTCTTGGTGTTTGTTTGTTCTGACTTCACTTTATAACCCTTTTTAGGTTTACTAATTCCTGCCTTCCGTCCTCTAAGCTTGTCCATATCCACACTATTTACATCGGCATGTAACTCTGAAACTTGGGGGATCCATACCTTGCCTTGTTAATTTCTATATGTATACACTTGTTAATTAGTATTTCCTGACGTTTTTTACTACTCCTTATGTCCCTAATGCAAGAGCATTTTTTATACTACACTAGTGTAAAAAACGCTCTTACACTAATATAAAAAACGCTCTTATATTATAGAACAGAGGGAGTACCTCCAAGACCCCAAAACCATTAGGGGGAAAAAAACTTGTTTTTCTTTTCTTTTGTCCTTTCACATATCCATGTATGTGATTTGAGAGAAAACTCAAGGATAAGATCTGTTCAATTCTTCTACAAAACAGCTTGCACTTAGTTTGGTACATTAGTGAAATCGATGACTAGGTCAATGGCATGCATGGTATTTGCCGGGTGCTTTCCATCGGGCACTCGGCAAAGGATCGCTGAAACCGAGTGCTCACGGAAGCACTCGGTGAGGCGACCACACTCGGGAAACCATGGATACGGCACTCGGCAAAGACAAGGCACTCCACTAACTCTGCGCATGACACTCGAATGGTGACACTTGGCAAAGCCAATGCCACGTGTCCCTACCCACTGCAGGACGACACGGTGATGATACTACCGAATTTAATGAGTGTCATCTGACGGCAAAAGAGTTTCTTTTTTCTTTTTTGATGGACCTGAATATCTCGGGAACGTGAGGTTTTTAGATATGGCAAATCAAACTTTTTTTATGGCAAATTATGTCCGTCGAGGATGGCAAGTTTAGTTGCCGAGCATATGGTAAATCCGTCTCAGTTCATTTTTCGCTGACAGCTAAATTTATCGTCCACGCGTCAACATAAATTGCCATGAAAAACTTCCGATTTCCTATGCCTAAAAATCTGACGTTATTTGCCAAGAGCTCCATATAACATTCGGCCATGCTCATGTTTGCCGAGTTTTGGTCCAATTGACCATATTAATTGTTCTACTTTGTGTGCTAATGTGCCATGACTAACATTTTTTTTATTTGTCCGTGTGGAGAGACATGGACACAAGCAAATGCGTGCGCTATCCCCATGTGACACCGCACAAGCACTGTTCCATTTCAGTTTCTCACACAAGATGCAGAGATGTATAACCCAGCATCATCCTATTTACTCAGTGCTCCATTCAGTTGCCCCACTCATGCATGGGGCCCTAGCTAGTTTGCTTGCTGCCCAACGCCATCTCCCCACATAATGTGATCGATGGATCGTATGCTTCCAGCCCACACTGTAATGCACAGGCGTCTTATTCACCACCAATGCCCCGGGGCGCCACGCCTGCGCCGCTATGAACGGTTCTATGCATCGCCGATCGATGATCTATCTAGTCCTCTACTACTCCGCGAAGAAGAACTAAAGTGGGCTTTGCGTGCTAAAGTACGCAAAGTGGTCCAGGGGGGACGCGAATACTCAGTTCTTCCATTTGATAGCTAATGGCAAACACAGAAAGAAGCGAATCTTTCAGCTTGAGCAGGACGAGGGTACTATTTTAGGTAAGGAATCAGGATAACCTAAAAACATACATTACCGACTATTATAAGCAGTTATTTGGACCTCCGGAGGATAATACTGTGTCCCTTGATGAGTCCAGAACTGAGGATGTACCTCAGCTATCGGCTGCTGATAATGAGATTCTGGTTGCCCCGTTCTCGGAGAAGGAGGTTTTTGATGCTATTGCACAGATGAAGAATAATAAGGCTCCCGGACCGGATGGTTTCCCAGCTGAGTTCTATAAGAAGTGCTGGCACATTAATAAAGGGGATTTACTACCTATGTTCCATGATCTGTTCTCTGGACAGCTTCAATTATTCCACTTGAATTTTGGGACTATCACACTACTTCCTAAGAAGAAGGATGCGGTGAGAATTGAGCAATTCAGGCCGATCTGTCTCCTTAATGTTAGTTTCAAAATTTTCACCAAGGTCGGGACTAACAGACTCACACAGATTGCACATTCTGTAGTGCAACAGTCCCAAACCGCTTTCATGCCGGACAGAAATATCCTTGAAGGGGTGGTAGTCCTGCATGAAACGCTCCATGAAATCCAGTCTAAAAAATTAGATGGAGTGATTTTTAAGATGGATTTCAAGAAAGCGTATGATAAGGTCAAATGGCCATTTCTCCAACAGTCTTTGCGTATGAAAGGTTTTGATGAAGCCTGGCGCCGACAGGTTGAATCATTTACGCAAAAAGGTAGTGTGGGAATTAGAGTTAATGATGACATAGGCCACTACTTCCAGACACATAAAGGCCTAAGACAAGGAGACCCGATGTCCCCTATCTTGTTTAACATTGTGGTGGATATGTTGGCAGTTTTGATAGGAAGGGCTAAGGAAAATGGTCAAGTAGGTGGATTGGTGCCTCATCTTATTGATGGAGGTGTCTCTATCCTACAGTACGCTGATGATACAATCATCTTTATGGAGCATGATTTGGCTAAAGCGAGAAATATGAAGCTGGTGTTATGCCTATTCGAACAATTGACCGGGCTAAAGATCAACTTTCATAAGAGCGAGTTGTTCTGTTTTGGTAGGGCCAAAGATGAACAGGATGCTTATAGGCAATTGTTTGGATGTGAGTTGGGAGAGCTACCATTCTCATACTTGGGGATTCCTATCCACCATCGTAGGCTGACAAACAGAGAATGGAAGTACATCGAGGACCGATTTGAGAAGAAAATGAGCTGTTGGAAGGGCAAGCTCATGTCATATGGAGGCCGATTAATCCTAATTAATTCGGTGCTCACGAGTATGCCGATGTTTCTTCTATAGTTCTTTGAGGTACCAGTTTGTGTTAGGAAGAGACTGGACTTCTAAAGATCGCGGTTCTTTTGACAGGGTGATGAGCTTAAAAGAAAATATCGGCTTGCTAAGTGGGATATCATCTGTAGACCGAAAGACCAAGGGGGTCTAGGTATTGAGAATCTCGAAATTAAGAATAAATGCCTTCTTAGCAAGTGGCTGTGGAAGCTCTCTTCGGAGAATGATGCTATGTGAGCTCAAATCCTTCGTGGCAAGTACCTTCAGTCAAAAACTTTGTCACAGGTCACAGTAAGGCCGACCGACTCGCCCTTCTGGAAGGGTCTCATGAAGGTCAAGCAGGCATTGTTTAATAGGACAAAGTTTGTTATTGGAAACGACACGAGTACACGTTTCTGGGAGGATACTTGGCTCAGTGACACACCCTTAGCCATCCAATACCCTTCTTTGTACCGCATTGTTCAACGCCGTGAGGTGGTCGTTGCATCGGTCTTTCAATCTACCCCCCTTAATATCCAGTTCAGACGAGTGCTAGCGGGGAATCGTTGGGAAGAATGGCTTCGTCTAGTTAGGAGACTGATGGAAGTCCAGCTTTCTCAACAACCTGATGAATTACGCTGGAAGTTGACTAAGTCTGAAGCATTCATGGTTAAATCAATGTATATTGATGTTATTAATTCGAACTCCATTCCTACATCCAAACATGTTTGGGATGTCAAAGTTCCTTTGAAAATAAAAGTGTTTATGTGGTTCGTCCATAAACAAGTAATTTTAACTAAGGATAACTTGATAAAGCGTAATTGGACAGGACCTACTAGGTGTAGTTTTTGCGATCGAGATGAGACTATTAAACACCTCTTTTTTGATTGCCCGCTGGCCAAGGTACTTTGGCAGACGGTCCACATTGCTTTTAATATCAAACCCCCGAATTCTGTTAATGCGTTATTTGGGACATGGCTTAATGGGATTGAGCCTAACTTAGCGAGACATATTCGGGTTGGAGTTTGTGCTTTGCTGTGGACTATCTGGAATTGCAGAAGCGATTTGGTCTTTAACAGAATATCATGTATAAATTTTTTGCAGGTCTTATTCCGGACTACGGCATTGATCCGTTCGTGGTCGCTACTCACCCAGACGGAGGCCAGGGGGCATTTGGTTACTGGGTCTTTCCGCTGGGAGATGGTAGCTCGGGATATCTTCAACCGGTTTGGATGGCGGTCATGTAATAGGATAGGCATTTAGTATCCCTATCTAGTTCAGCCAGCCGGTTGTGGCATCTTGATTTGGCTAGTTGATGTTTCTAGCCTTTTTTGGCTCTGTGTGAGCTTTTTGTGCTTTTCTATGACTTGTGGAGACCTTTGGAACCATGTTGGCACTTCTTTATTTTGATAATAAGATGGCCGTATGCATCGTTCTGATGCAGAGGCCGGGGAATCCCCCCTTTTCGAAAAAAAAAAACTTGTTGAAGCTCGGGGTGGTTTGCGCATGTCATCTTTAATTTGTGATTGTTATGTGTGTACTATGGTGCGCAAAATTGTAGTGAAGTTTGGTGAAGGTCTTTGCTTCTAAGGTACAGTAGTACTCTGAGAAGATAACACTTTTCAGATTTCGTTAATGAAGCAAGAATGCATTTTGTTGGAGAAGTTGTGGAATTGTAAGCATGGCTTCTTTTGGCGCTGTTGTCTGCCTACTTTTCTGTAGAGCTACCTTTCCTGGGTATGCATAAGGGGAAAGGGTACACGAAGACAGTTAGACAAGTGGCCAAGGACTAGTATTCAGCAAAAAAGCAGACTGCGATTTTGTTTTTGCAAGAATTCTTGCCACAATCTCAAGCTACTAGATCCTTCGTTGCTGTATTTGACAATGAAGCCATAAAATCAATATATAAAATTAAAACAAATCAATGGCA